TGACCTTTAAAACTTGACTTAAATACTGCCATTTCTTGTCTTAAAATCCCTTACGGACTTTCCATTGCTGATAATATCACAGAGTAGTTCCTCCTTACCCATGAAAGGTAGGTTTCATTTACCAAACTCTCTATATATACCATTTTTATTTGAAAAACATACCTATGATGAAGGTTGATTTATAAGCTGGGAAGAATAAGAAATTAACACTAATTAATAATAAAATAATTATAACAACATAACATGATAAAAGTTATGTGAAAGTGGTCTCTCTCTCCCTTTTTATGGTATTATACTCATGCTTCTTCTTGTTGATTGCAGGTAACTGAAACCCCAGAGCTCACGGGAGACACCTGTGTGTCCTAGAGTCCTACCACACTGGGGTGGACAGCAGGACTCCTCACCAGCCTTCCTTCGCACCCTGACTCCACACAGGCATCATTCCCGCACACGGAGAAGCTGCACCAAGCAAAATCAACGGAGATGGACCCCCAACTCAGGTCACACTTCTGTCTCCCACCCATTATCTGGTGGTGACTTAAACAATTCTTCTTCAGGAAAGATTTTTTTTTCTATCACCACACATGGTTACACCCTAGAAGTAACACCTAAGTCCAAATCAAGGCATTTTTTTTAAAAAACAAAACAACCAGGCCTTCTTGGTGCCAAAATCATGAAAGAAAAGACTAAAGGATCATCCTAGACTTAAAAGATTAAGAAGACATGTGTGATTCTGGCTTGGATCCTCAACCAGAAGACTTTGGTGAAATCAAATCAGAGCTCTAGCTCAGACAATGGTTTGTATCATGTTAATTTCCTCACTCTGACAGTTACTGTGGTAATACAAAGTTAATATCTGGAGAAGCCATGTAAAGGATGTATAGAAGTTCTGCATACTAGTTCCATGATTTTTTAGGAATCTGAAATTATTTTAAAAGGAAATGATAAAAAAATTTCAAGTAGTGCCTTTTGAAAATCAGTAAGTAAAAGGACAACAAAGGGGAAAAATGTTTGCATTGCTTGTGACAAGTATGCCTGTTACGCCTAAGCTATTGAAAACATTTGCAAAACAGTAAGAACGAGGCAAAAAGTAGAATGAAAATGAGTAAGTGACATGAACAAACCTTAAGAAACATAAGCAGCTAAGTAATCTGTGTGGAAATGTTCAAGTTCACTAATAATTATAAAGCTGAATTTCAAACAAGTACTAGCTCAGTGACAAGACTACGGCCAAGACCCTGGGTCCAGTCCCTAGCACCAAAACCAACCAAATAAATAATAATAATAAACTATGACCTTCTGCATGGTAATTTCATTTGCTTGACTGATAAAAATGTAAATGGCTAATCATAGGCGATACTGATGAAGACTGGGAGGAAATTTGCCAAGTTTTTTTCCCCCATAATATGCATTCCTATTGATAAGTTCCAATTCCAAATTTTTCCTAGATTGTCATGGCCATACCCACACAAACACACACATCAGCAGGGTTTAAAAATAGCAAAATTTTAGAAATAAAAAGAAATAACCAAAGGGAATCATTTCTTATTGAGTGTGTTGGGACACATCTGTAATCCCAGCACTCGGGGAACTGAGGCAAGAGAGTCACCAGGAGTTCAAGGGTTCCATAGTGAGTCAAGGCCAGCTTGAACTACATAGAAAGATTCTGTCTCAAAAAAGCAAAAACAAAACCAAAAGCAAAAGAACAAAAAAACCCTGGGTGGAGGGGGAAAGATAATTTTAAGTAAAGAATCTCTGTGTTGAATGAAGACATTAAAACAGGCTTATACATTTATGCACTGAACAGAAAACTGTCCAAGTTAAAAAGAAGTTGCCAAATAACATAGGACTCCATTCTTGTAGTATCAATGTATATGTATCTAATTTATGCTGGCATTTAGAGAAAAAGGTCTGGAATAGCATACTGACTTTTTTCCAATTGTCTTTCCAAGGGTGGGGTCATGAGGGGCCTTCATTTTTAATTCATTCATTTTCATACAGTTTGTTATAAATACATATCCCTTTATAACATTATACTTTTCAAACCCTTGAAGTTTTGAGTGAACGGCCACATCCAAACATTTGCCATTTGGGAGGACAGGTGACAAGATCTCTAAAACTTGCTGTTAACCTGTATTTTTTCTGATTCTGCCCTTCAAAGAAGAGGTATCATTAAGAATATGAGAAGTAGGATATCTTCCATTATGAGAACTTCAATGCAGCACTGGAATTTGTATTATAATGTTATTATGTGAAAATGTCTATGGAAATCAGGAAGAATAATTGCTTAAAACATAAAAATAAAAGGAAGAATTTGAACATAAAGTTAGATTTAATCTCTAATTAGATTTACTCAAGGTATAGCTTACTGAGTAGCCATATTAGAATCGTCTAGAAAACTCTTAAATAGAAGTCCGCTCATTCCATCCACCCCTCCTTGGTGCTGAGAGAGAGCACATTTGACTTTATTTTTTAGGATAACCTGAGAATCACTGCCTGAGTTACTGTTCTAAGGTTTTCAAAAATATTTCACTTGTTAAAAAGAAAATGACTGTATATGCTATAATAGTTATATTTCTCTCAAGATCCACATCTTGATCACTTAGATTTTTCATTAATTAGAAAATTAAGCTCCACGCCCACTTATGATTCCAAATGATTTCAGTTTTATATATATAAGGTAAGTGCTATATATAGATTCAGCAAGCCATGTCCTTGTTCCTTTAAACAGAAACATTAACAGATGAAGTTCTTATCCTCCCTTCTAATCTCATTCTATCTACCATGTTTATTTGTTCCTACTGTAAAAGATAACTTATCTCCTGTGACAATTTATAAGCCAAATTTTCAAGGACAAAACATATTGGAAAAAGAACTACGGGCAAACTACAAACCACCAAGAGACCGAAGAGTGGACCTGCAGGCCTAAATGTGTGGAGTTTCTTCTCAGTTGTTGAAAAGCACATTTCTAGAGTTAAAAGATGTGGTTCTAATGATGGGAAGATGATGGAATAGGGCATATAAAATCACAGCGCTATAGACAGCTAAGTCAGGCAGAAATCAATATGTAGTCAGAGAAAGACCGGGCCCTCAAAGAGGTCAGCATAAAGAAAAAGACATCAAGATTGTGGTGGGAAGTGCAAGAGGGAGATGCAGTGGCCGGGCTGGCCCCCCGTCTTGAGGGATAAACAGCAATTTGAAATGTCCCTATAATTAGCACCTCTTGATCCAGAAAGTCCAGACAGGTGATCAGAGCATCTGGACCCATCCCTTCCCAAAAGTGCTTTTGTTCTATGTACCCTTGTCATGTGACTTGCTTCCCTATTGGACCAGTATTAGCTAAGAAGCCGTTCCTGTAATCCTATAGGTTGACTGTAGTTTGATCCACATTGCACCCACATTGTTAACTTCCTGTACAAATTACCCCTCACAAGTAGGTGTCACTAAAAGGACACCTACTTAGGACCCCTCCTAGAAACAAAGGAACCACTATTCTTTCCCATAGTTCCAATAAAATTCTCCTTTTTCCTTTGTATCTTGGTTACTTCTCTCTAGTTGCTGAGAAAAAAATATCCAGCACCAAAAGTTAAGGAAGGAACAGTTTATTTAGCTCACAGTTTGAGGAGGTTTCAGTCCATGATCAGCTGGCTCCAAGGCAAAGTGGCACATGGCAGGGAACAACAGTTCATGGTGGCAGAAGACAGCAAAAGCAGTAAGATCAAAGAAAGAGGAGCACGGTGAGAAGACCCTGCCCCTTATACTGCATGTCGGCCACAGCCGCTTATGAGTGTAGGACTCACACTCATAACCCTAGCGTTGGACCATGAGTCATTCACAAACCCTAGAAGCCTGACTCCCTGACGGCATGAGGCTTTGGGGGGCATCCAGACTCAAGTTCTAACATTTGGTTTGTGAATGCATCCCTTGATGTTGTGACACCATGAACACAGCATATCAGTCATTTAACAGACTGGGAATTACATTTTTTTGTACATTAACAGGGTCATTACTGATTGGAATTTTCCTTCTGCTTTCAGTTAAATATGTACAGTTGATTGCTCTCATCACTGCAGTCTGAAATGCAGAATTCTAAAGAGGAACTGTGTGTTTTTCTGAACACAAGCAAATGTGAAACAGGAAGGCAGTACTCACAAAGAAGGAGGCGAAAAGGGTTAAAATGAGTCCTCTTGGCCTCCTGTTTCCAAATTAAGCCCATCAAATTGAATCATCAAGGCAAATCAACAAAATGCATACTTTGTGATGGGCCCCTCAAGAGTTATCTCTTGTATGAGACTCTGCTGAATCTTTGGGTCAGTCACTGGGATGCTATTGAAAGATCAGTACTGCAAAGATTTAAAAAATAGAACACTAAATTCACCAAACCTAACGTCCCATCACCCTTAATCAATTTTAAACTCATAAAATTTTTTAAAAAGGATTTTTTAAAAAAGAAATAGAACTGTTCAGTTAAACGATAAAATGTGTAATTTATACAAAAGGATAGATCAAAAGATGCAGAGTATATTTTAAAGATGAAATTAAAAAATTGTTTTAACTAAACTCAACTCATGTTTTATCTATAAACTTTTCACAATACCAAGAACTTTCAACTACTTGAAAAACAAAACACTGTGGCTGGAGAAAGAGCTCAGTGGCAGAACACGTGCTTAGCATGTATGAGGCCCTGAATCAGACCCCCAGCAGCACGGGAAGGAAGAGTGGGGGAGGGGAGAGAGGAGGGAGGGAAGGGGTGAGGGGAGGAGAAAAGAGAGGGGAGTGGGAAAAGGGGAGGGGGGGAGGGGGGAATAAGAGTGAAGAAAGGAGAGAAAGGGAAGCAAAAAGGTGGGAGGGAAGAAAGAAAAGAAAAACTATTACTTATAAATATCTTAAATTATAAGAACAAAAATTACAAGGATTAATGTAGTAATATCAAAATACTGAAGTCAGTGATGGCAGACTTCACTCTAGAGAAGCTCAGGAGGTCAGGCATGGTAGCACACCTCTGCAAACCTGTAAGGTCAGCTACTCCGGAGACCGAGGCAGGAGGATCCAGAGTTCAAGGCCACTTCAAGCAACTTTGAGACCTTTTCTGTGTCAAGAAAAAAAAAAAAATTAAGCCTGTATGTGTAGCTCAGTGGCAGGGTGCTTGCCTAGTAGGTGAGAGGCCCTAGATTCAGTCCCCAGCACAGCAAACAGAAAAAAAGAAAGAAGAACTGCGGGAGGAATTGGCAGATTTTATTAGGCTTCCACCTCTCCTTAAAATTTTAACTCAGAATTAGACATAATTACTCCAACAAGTCACAGAGCAGCTAAAATTTACTTTGTCTGAATAACCTGGATTAAAAAATCATTTGGAAATGTCATCATTTCTTCACCACAGCTCATAAATAGGAGATATATGAGGCTCAGACCATAGAGAGAGATGTAGAAGTTTCTCCGAATCCTTCTACACACCCCAGAATAAACACTCTGCATTGAGCATGCACAGACTTCCTGTCTGTGGCAGACAGCCATTGGCTGCAAGGAGCAATGTGTGTGCTGCACATGTCAACAGTACGGAAAGGAGAAACAAAAAATAAGACATAGACTTTTGAAGTGTATATGAAAACATGAACTGAAATGCTTCTTAATAGGGATGGAAATTATTATTTACAAAGTACCAAAATAAATTATCAAGGAAAAATAGCCCCAATATTGTGCAATAATACAGGTGCTAATTCTGTGTTGGACATGGCAATACCTGGAATCCAGCAGCCTACACTTTGCCTCCAATCTGCACCCTCAGCCTGCAGTGTAGGAGACAGGGATTCACACGGAACAGGAAAGCGGGTGTTGGAGTCAGACTGTCTGCATGCAGCCCTCAACTCTGTCAAGACACCAGCCTAGGAGTCAGTAATTTACTGGGCCTCTTCTATGTTAATTTTTTAATCTACAAAATGGTATCTGCTTCACTTTTTGCAAGGCACTATTTTAAAATTTTCATCTTTTTAACATATGTTGCTGTACTGGGGATTAAACTCAGGGCCTTTGCACTGAATTACAGCGTCAGTCTTAATTTTTTGTTTTGACTGCAAGGTCTCATTAAGTTGCTTGCTGGGTTGGAAACTTCTGTGCTCCTGCCTCAGTATCTTAGAGTGTTGGGATAAGCATTTTTTATAAATTTATTTACATGAGTATTTTTCTTCAAGCCTTTTGAGAAACAAACTAATATCCCAGAGGAAACAGAGGCTCAGAAAAGTTAGTAACCTATCCAAAGACATACACAAATAAGAAGTAGCAAAGAGATTTCGTGTTCTTAGCCACTCTCACAACCGTAAAGTAACATGTTAAATTTTATAACTGTCTCTGTATACTGCACATGTTCAATAATTGACATTGATAAGTGTTAAGAATGTTTACCACATATTCACAAAATCCTGTGAGCTCTGCAGGAAAAGAACATGGTGATAGCCGGTGCCACAGGCAGAGTGCACAATATGTTTGTGATCACACACGTGTGCTTTTTCACGTACAACAAAAAATCCTATTGCCTGACTGAAATTGCCCTGTCTCCATCTCATTATCCCTGGGATCTTAAATCATTCTCTTACCATCAGACACCTCCACCTTCACTCAGGTGGCAAAGTGTTATTACAAAAAATATTTCATCACTTATTCTCTTTCGAGGAACCCACACAGCTACTATGTCAAATCAAAATTTTATCCCTGGCTTCCAAGAATTTTAATAAATTATGGAGGGAAAATGCCTTAACTTTCATTCAGGTGCTCAAGTGTCCATTTAGCAAACAAATACAAGACATAAATGACCACATTTCATTATAAAGGGAATAGCAGTTCTTGTGTTACTTTGGAGCACTGAGCAATTTTATTTCAAGTATGTATTTTTGGACGTAGCTCAATGAAGTGAATGTTTTATTTTACTTCTATTCAAAATGAAATAAACTTGATCAGAGAAACATATGAAGAGAAGATAAAAATTTGCACTATTATTAAATACATCATTAATATCTAGGTAAATTTTATGTAGGTTTCTAATCTTTCATCTTGAAATTAGATCCTAAATCACAGATAGAATCTGTAATGTTTGCTAAATGTAGAGCTAAAATAGAAAGCAAAACACCTGAAAATTTCAGATTAAATAACATACCCATTTCCAAAAGAGTACTTTGAAAAGTTAACTAAAGCAAACCAAAACACAGGCATTTCTAGTGCTTTTAGTAACAGTTGCTTTCAGTAAACACAAGTTACTCAGTAACCACCAGCCTGAATTAATGTCTTTAAGCTAACCACATCAATAAACCAAAATAACATACTTGCATTTGAAGAGAATCAAATGAGACATGCTTTGAAGACTTAGCAACTTTCCAAATGTTCAACCAGCCTTCCACTGACATGAGGTGAGGCAGGATTGTACTAGAAGTTCCTCTGCTTTGCTTAGAAATGCAAATATTTCTGACAAAGCCACATCCAGATGTAGCTACATCCAGATCATTCCATAGTTGAATGTTCTGATGTCAACAGAGTTTCTGAATGTATACTCGCACCCAGTTGGAAAGTTCACATGTTCTGATAGCTGGAATAAGCAACTCCACAGGACTAATGCAGTGGGTTTGGTTTGGTTTGGTTTGGTTTGGTTGAGGTTGGTATCCTTCCTTCACTTGAGGAAGTTGGTCTTTTTAGTTAAATAAGTATCATCGGGGCTTCAAATTGGTGAAATGTTTGTTGAGTCCCATAAAATCATTAGTAAAAGAAAAAAGTCAATCCCAGAAGTCAATGCAGTTATGTCTGGAAGATAAAGACATTCTACAATTTGTTATTAATTTGATAATTTATTGGACAGCTGCAATCCATAAGCCCCAACGGGTAGAAAACAAGTCTAATATTTTCAGGGATAATCATGAGTCATTTATCATAGTTTCCCTTGAAAGCTGCTTATAAATCTTTCACAGGATCAAGAAACAGTTGTAACATTAGAAAGAATCACAAATTCACCAAAATAATGAAAACTCCTCCAATGATCAAATGCACCAGCCAGGAACCTGGCTGTTGGTACTAACCAGGTAACATCTGCATTATTTCCTCCTTTAGTTTGGAGCAAGAATTATCAGACTTTAACAGGCAACCTCTCATTCCCTGGGTTTTACTTGTAAGTAGACCTCGGAAGAGTACTTAGAAGAAGGATATGATTAAACTGAGTTAAATCCTATGGCCTGAGGGTAAGAAGATGTAACTATTATTAACAATTATTTAACTAGTTTTATCAGTCCTTTCCAGTAACCAGTCCTTGAGACACCCTCTCTCTAGGAATAAAACTTTTTGCTGAGGGTCCAGTCCTTTCAGTGCTCTCACCAAGCCTCCTAAGGGCAAGGAGAATCAGGTATTCAAGAGTGGAATCTCCTGACGCAAACCACTCCCTGTGTGTCTGCTGGGACAGAAAACACACATCCAGTTCATTTTCCAGGTAGGTTCCAATACTATGTCATGATTTTGCAGACTCTAGTGGAGCCAATGGGTAATACAAAGCCTACTTTTCAAAGACATTAATTTGTGTTAAAAATACACACGTATATTAATAGAACAGCCACAAAATGGCCAGTATAATCCAATTGTAGACTACATTTCTGAAGTTCATTTAGCATCCATATGGAAAGCATAAAATTGCCAATAGAAGCAAGAATTAGAGAAACACACACACACACACACACACACACACACACACACACACACACACTGGTTTAATCTCTATGTTAAAAGGTGCTGCCCATGTGCTGGGCTGTAGTTCCGTGGTACCCCGCTTGAGTGAGGCCTTAGGGTCAGTCACAAGCACTGTAAAAATAAATAATAAATCAACAAAAACTTCATTAGGCCTCAAAAACTGAAACAGGAAACCAGACATTCGGGTGTGATCTATCTGCTGAAACCAACCTATGTCCCAACCTTGACAGGTCCCTGACTCTCGAGACATGAATGACACCCTAGTGATGTCCACTGCATCTCTGGAAGTGCCGGAAGACCTAAAATTTCATTTTATTTTCAGCAATCAGCAAGAAGTCTGGAAAGCCGTGCGCCTCCTGGGCCTTACTTGAAAGATGCCTGTCTTACTGGCTACCTAATTTCAGAAAGCGAACCACCAGCCTTATCCCCGCGCAACACCAAGCATCTTTTCAATCGTCCAGATTACATGAATCATTTATTCCTAATGTCATTTTCCTCTTGGTCATCAACAGGCTGAGGTTGTTTAGAGAGTTCTGGAAACATCATGTCTTTGTGACATCCCACCCTGCATTTCACGGGGAGAGGGAGGATTCAGTGAAGGCTCCTGTTTTTCAGGTGAGAGAAAATGTTTTAAGGATCTCACAGATCAACACGAAGGTAACCCCATCGAGAAAGTCTCGCCACACAAAGCAAGGGCCAGATTTTGCACCCTCGCCCCCCCCCCCTTTACATTGTAGCCAGGGTCTGCAAATGTCTACACGCGCTCCAGACAGCATCCAAACCTGGGCAGGAGGCGCGCCCCGCGTCCCGGTGGCCGCCGGCGCCCCGCCCCTCTGCCGGGAACCGCGGCTTCCTGCCTCCCGCTCAAGGTGAAAGTAACCGGGGCGCCGGGCAGGGGCGCGGAGGCCCGGCGCTGCGCCGGCGGAAAGGAAGCGAGCGGTCAGCAGCGCGCGTCCCCCGCGCCCCGCAAGCCCGGGGCCCAGGCGCACGCACGGGCACACCCGCGGGCACCAGCGCACGCACGGGCACACCCGCGGGCCCCAGCGCACGCACGGGCACACCCGCGGGCCCCAGCGCACGCGCGCGCCGCACTCACCAGCAGCCCGCGGGGTCCGCAGCTCGCGTGGGACGGCGACCGCGGCGGCTGCTCGCGCGCGTGCGGCCGGCTCTGGCATCCGCCTGGCCGCTCCGGGCCGGGCCGCGCGCTCGGCTGGAGGGCGCTGCAGCGGGTGGGAGCGAGCCCGCTGGGAGGCGCCCCCTCGCTGGCCGGCCGCGCCTCCTCCCGGCTCTCCGCGGCGGCCGAGGAGATTTGATGGTTCCACTCTCGGGGTCCCCGCCGCCCCTCTTCTCACTGCTCCTCCTCCTCGTCCCCGCCTCCCCAGGCCGGGGCACAGCCGCGTCCCCGCGAAGCACCCTCAGCCGGCGGACTCAGAACCGCGGCAGCGCTCCTCGGGGCAGAAACTGTGGCTGCGAGCAGCCCGGCCTCCAGGCCCGGCCCGGCCCGGGCGCCGCCCCGCCTCTGTCTCCTCCCTCCGCCTCGGTTCTGCGGAAAAAGCTCGCAGGTGGCAGCGGGTCCCTGCGGACAGCCTGCGGCGAGAGCGAAACGGTTGGGTGCGACTCGTTCATCCGAAGACCAGGTGCCTTCTGCTCAGCCTGGGACCGCGGCGTCCCTCTGCGCCGTCGGTTTCACTGATGTGCAGGCGTGGTGACTGAGGACCGCAGAGCAAACAAGCCAGAGGCAGCTGGATTTGACTCTAAAGCTGGCCTCAGCCTGAGTTTGGGTGAAAATCCCACTTATATCTCATGTAGAAATTCCATCTTGAGATTTATCCATAATTGGATACACCCATCGTAGAACACTTCGGCTGCTTCTCTTCCCACTTTCCTGTACTTGGGAACCATAAATATTATATCTTCCGGATGTGATTATGTTACTGTCACACAGTGGATTGTAATACTACAGACACACAGGACTGTTATGGTCCCAGCACTGTGCCAGGCTTTGGGCATATGTAATCTTGCTTATCTGCTTATCTTAGATTACTCACCTAGAAAATAGTAGAAGTTTAAAGTTAAACTCTCACCTAAGAGTAAAAACCAAACCAGTGTCTGATCTGACATCAAAAGCTGTTTTTATCGCTTAAAAAGTCCTATTAATTTGTGCATGTTTTAAGAACACTGCTGCTACTAGATGAAATTCAGGTGCTTTTCTGGAGCATGGTGGGGAGGCTTACATCAAGTGTGAGAAGTGACTACAAAAGGGAGCGGCCAGACCCGGTTTCTCTAGCATGGCTTAGGATGGTTTTCTTCTGGAGACCACACATCTGGCCCTGCACCGGGGAACCTGATGTTAGGCACTTGCTCATCTTGGGTATCATCTCCCTCTATTGCTTTTTAAAACCAGGGCCACTAATTTTTGCAAAAAAGCAATGATTTTATTTTTCTGATTGTGAATTTGGTTCCACATTTTAAAATCAGGACATTTAACAAAAATTCAGATTTTTTTTGTCTTTTTTGAAAAGTTGTAGAATTGGACAACATTTGGCCCGTGGTGTGAATGTTCTGTCAGCAGGAGGTGAGGTGGCAGGAGTTCTCTGTGGACTCTAAAGATGCTTTTTAGTTTTCCCCACTGCCCATCACTCCTCATGCATCCCCCGTCTCCCTGACATGGGAGGCTGTGATAAATACTTATACTTACATTTGCAATGCTGAGCTTAATAATCTCATGATTTACTAAGCAATAGAAAATCCAATGATAATTAAGCAGGTTATGAAGATTCCTAAAAAGTATCATGAAACAAAAAACTTCCTCATACATGCTTACCGTCATCATTGATCATAAATTCATGGCCTTAATTAACTCACTGGCATCCACACAATCTTCGCAAAGAAAAAAAAAGCTAAGTGTGGTGACCCATTCCTAGAGTCCCAGCTATTTGGGACTGAGGCAGGAGGATCACTTAAACACAGAAGTCCAGAGCCAACTTGGGCAACATAGGAAGACCTCTCCATACAGACAGAAAAATCTCATAAAAGCCAAAATTTCTCAATGCTCACTGTCACCTGCTCTGGCACCTAGGGGATCATCATGTGAGGCAAGTTCTGCCAACCAGAGGCTCCTACATGACTTTGAATCTCAATTCTGTGATTCAAAAAGAGGCATTTTTGAAGTAATTCCATCATCTGGGAAGTGGCTTTTACGTCCAGAACAGGAGGGCCTGAGGTAACAGATAATAGTGTCCACCATGGCCATGACCACAGCATGCAAGTGGATTGAGTGATGTGGTCTATTTTGATTCCACCCTATGTGATGAGCCTGCTTCTCCTGCCTTTCTGCCTCTCTGATTGCCACCTGATGGTCTTCAAAGACATTTCTCCTTCCATTAAGGTAGCCAGAAATGGTCTTGGTGTTGGACACCACAACTAACACAGCAACTGGGGGAGGCAGCATTCAAACTCTGTCTCCCATCATTAATTCAGTTAATGCAGAGTGGGCACATATGTATTGATATAATTTTAGAAAATTTTAATGTGTTCTATAGATTTCTTGCATTCTTAAGATTCAATTCCAACAATAATCAAAATATACTTTTTAAAGATAGGATTTCCTCTTTACTAAACAGTCAATCCCAATGATAGTAAAAAACAAAAATTTAAAGAGACAGGCCCAACCTCTACTGTAGGCTTGTGAGTATACCTTGCTTTATTACTTGTTAGAGAGCAGCAAAATGAACTCCCTAGTCTGGTGGTATAGTTTTTATACCCTGTTATACAAGGAATTTTCCAGTATGTTAACAAAAGTTGTAAAATGTACATAGGTCTCTACCCAGTAATTAATTTCACTTTTATAAAGCAACCTGATCAAAGAAAATCTGAAACAAAGAAAACAGTTTTTCCTGTGTATCAACTTTGGGAAACAAAATGTTGTGGTAAGTTTTCAATATCATTAAAACCACTTTTAATACAATAGAATGTTAAGCAAACAGGATACGAAATTGATATTCAATAAATGATCTCAAATAAGTATAAATACAGGAAAAGCTCTGGAAAAATTTATTAAGATTGCTTCTCAGACATTACTTATAGATGGTCATAGTTACCTCATACTTACTAAAATTTGACTTTTCCTACAAAACACATTTTTTCCTGTAGGAAAAGAGGTACTCAGTAGTTAAAAATGAACAGAATTTGCAGTCAGATAAAAATGAGGTTATATTGATCATGGTTCCTAGTTCATTATAAATTTTTGAAAAATGAAAGGAGATATAAATAAATAAGGGAGGGAGGAAGAGAAGGTACATTATTTCAGAAAGAAGAATGAGGAATTAGTGATTGTAATGCCTGTCATTTTCTGGTTGATGGCTTAGAAATAAGGTATTATGTTCTAAATTACTTCAGTAAGCAAAACTCTCTTTGAATATTTCCCAGCTGATATAAAGTGAAGACCTTTCACACTGGATGAGAAATAATGAAGCCAGAATTCAGATATTTTCCCACCTCACAGAAGAGATCAGCTTTGGGAACCTGGGAGCCTCAGGATGTTTGTATTCAACACGAAATTCTGTTGCCTCTGGTTGTTCACAGCAGAGGGTTTACCACTCTCTTTGGGATGCCAAAAGCCAAGAACTTAGAGTAGTCTTTTCCTGTCAACATCCTTGTTGAATCTTATTTCTTAAAACTGCCAGACAAAAGAAAGCATGCATGCCTGGGCTTACATTAACCAGGAAGCTAAGAGTACGCTCACATCCTCCTCTGCTTTGTGCATGCGTATAGAGTGTGGTCCCTGGGGTGGCAACCGATCTCCTCTACGTTCTTGTTGACACGGATGGGATGGAGTCCTTAGATTCACATTGAGAATATCCTGACTTTGAATTGTTTCTGACGTCAGTGTCTCCAGGGAAGGACAAGTACTAAAATATCCAAATGGTTTTATTGGAAGAAACATTTATCTCAGATACTATTGTATATTTAAAGTGTATGCCTCAGAAATAATTATATTCTTAAAAACTTATCTTAGTTACTTTTCTTTTTGGTGAGACAAAAAAATATCCAAAGTTAAAAGAAAACGGTTTATTTAGCTCACAATTTATAGGGATTTCATCCCAAAATTAGCTGGCTCCATGACAGGGTCGTGGAAGACAGCAAAAGCAACACGAGGGAGGGGAGGGGAAGCACAGAGAATGGCGGGGAGAGAGAGACTTTTGGTCCCAAACACTGTACCTCCCCTAGGGCAGATGCAGCTTCACACCCTTAATCCCAGGATTGAACCACAAATCAGTCACAAACTCTAGATTCAGTTGTTTCCGAAAAGCCCACCCCTACCCACGATTGCATGAAGCTTTGGGACATCCAGACACAAATGATAACACCCTGTTCTTAAAATTCTGGTTTTGTTGTGGCTTATGCTAATAATGTATGGTCTAGGGGTCCTTGAAATTCTTTCCATCTGCAAAGGCTAAACTATTTTGATAAAAGTGTGAGCATGTTAGTTGACTTTTTCACTCTCCTTCTCCCATGGGTTTGCTGTGGAGAGTTATAGAATGTATGTGTATGATATTATAACAACTCAAAAGAAGACACAAATAGAAGAATGCAGTCATCTTTCAAACAGATGTGAAAGAGATTTGTAAAGATTTTTTTTTAAAAAAGGCTAGGATATACCTCAGTGCAAGAGTACTGGCTTAGCTTCTTGTACAATGTTTTGAATTCAAAGGAAAAATATTAAAGAAACTCTGGGGTTAAAAAGTTTAAGACCACTGATTGCTACTCCAGGACTAGTATGTTCTGAATATCTTACTTTTCATTTGAAGATTTGCATCAGAACTAAATATTAATGTAGCATAAGTTACATTGAGGAAAAAATTACTTCAAATCTGAAAACTGTAGGTACATTTGAGTATTTCCACTTATGTGTTATTACTTTAGTTTCTTGCTTCTTTCAACTTAGAACATTTTCATCATGTCCACCTATTCAATGAGGTTCAAAATTCAGAAATGTCTGAGACACTCCCTGCTGCCACTTATAAACTGTCTTCACCCATCTATTTAAGTGAGCCTTTCCCATTGGAAACAAGACAATGATATCTCTGGATAGCTCTGGTGGTGGACATGAAGTTAAGGAATAATGAAACATTCTGAAAACTGAAAGGTGGCTTGCAGGCATAAAGCTTACTACTACAAAATATTACAATATACAGGCAAACATTCAGTAAAAATGTAAATTCTCTCATGAGCTGT